GCAGGGAGAAATGTGAGTGGGGACAAGGCCACAGGTGTTGGGTCACGAGATCCAGCCGGAAGGGCTCAGCAAGTGGCAGCTGCAGGGCGCGCGGCAGGTGAGCAGGCACACTGGCAGGAATGCCCCTGGGCTGGTTGGGTTGGGAGCCTCAAAAGAAGAGAGAAGTGAGAAAGTAGGCACCCGTGCCTGGGGTCAAGGTAGAAGACAGAACTGAGCATTTCTGGGCCACCCTGGCCTGGGATCCTTTGCCTGTGACTTTGGAGACCCAGGGCTCAGGAGGAGATGGAATTGAGGTCATCGCACAAGGTGGAAGATAGAGAGGGAAACAATTATGTCATGAGCACTAATAAGTGCTGAGCACAGGGTCAGCCAGGTAGACAATCATCATCTTTTTTGTTTTTACTGTTTATTTATTTTTGAGAGAAAGAGAGGCAGAGTGCGAGAGGGGGAGGGGCAGAGAGCGAGAGAGACACAGAATCGGAAGCAGGCTCCAGGCTCTGAGCTGTCAGCACAGAGCCCGACATGGGGCTCGAACCCACAAACCGGGAGAGATCGTGACCCTAGGCGAAGGGGGACACTCAACCAACTGAGCCACCCAGGCGCCCCAATCATCATCTTTACTTGACAGGTGAGGAAACAGGATCAGTGAGGCTCAGCTACTACCTTCTATCTGACTCCAAATCCCATTTCATCACACAGCCTCCAGGGCAGAGCCAGAAGGTCGGCTGTTGGTTTATTTCCCTGCTGCTCAAACTAAGTTCTTTGGCAAGTTGACTTATCACTTTTCCAGTGAGAAGAATGTCCCTATAATCTCTGCTATCCTCACTTTCAGAGCTGTTCCCTCAGGCCAGGCTTCCAGGTCAGGGTGCCTAGAAGTCACCTGTTGGTGACAGAGGTCCTCCCTTACCCATCTCTGGTGCCACAAACCCGGCTTGTTCTTGTGAAACAAATCCACAGGGGAGCCTGTCACTGGCTGAGGTGCATGCTAGGGCTACAGCAGTGGGTAAGGCAGAGTTCCTGCCCTTCAAACCGTGCCTTGTCCAGAGGAGGAGAAAGACAAGAGAAGGACACTGCATCATGCAGTGAAACCCTGAGAGGGAGCACCTCACCTCACCTGGGGGCATCAAGAAAGCTTTCTGAAGATAATCTCTGAGCTGAGTCATCAACGATGAGAAGTCTTTTCGGCAGGGAAGGGAGGGAGGGAGTGCCAGGTGGAGGAAACCGCATGTGCAAAGCCCTCAGGAGCTTTCTAGGAACCGGCAGGTATCACCTATACCTGGAGCACAGTTTGGAAGGAAGAGAGGGGAGGGAGGAGGGGCGAGCAAGGCAGGGGACAGGAGAGGTGAGCAGGGACTAGATCCCGAAATGCTGAAGAGATGTTAGGAACAAATGTTACTCTAGCTGCAGGTGGACAATCAGGGCAAAGTGAGGGCAGAGAAACTAGTCAGGAGGCCACTGTAGAGAGCCAGAAAGAACCAATGAAGTCCACGGCCACAGAGGGGGATGATGGGAGCTGTGGGTGAGAGGCATGAAGGGAACAACATCTATAGGACTCTGTGATCAAGAGGCAGGGGCTCCTGGGTGGCTCAGTCGGCTAAGCGTCCAACTTCGGCTCAGGTCCTGATCTCCCAGTTTGTGGGTTCTAGCCCCGTGTGGGGCTCCGTGCTGACAGCTCAGAGCCTGGAGCCTGCTTCAGATTCTGAGTCTCCCTCTCTTTCTGCCCCTCCCCCATTTGCACTCTGTGTCTCTCCCTCAAAAATAAACAGTAAAAGAAAAAAAAAAGAAGCAAAGAAGTCCTTTCCCTGGTCTCTAGTTACGTGACCCAATATTTGTCCTTTTTTGTCTTAAGCCCTTCTGTGTTACATTCCTATCATTTGTAATCATGAGTGTTTAGCTCTTGCATGGGCTTGGTTGTCCAGAGGCAAGTGAATGTTTGAAGTAATTACACTGTTGTCTCCATTCCTTCTTTTTTTCCTTTTTGCTCATAGCCTTTCTTTTCAAAAAAAATTTTTTTTTAACATTTATTCATTTTTGAGAGACAGAGAGAGACAAAGCACGAGCGTGGAAGGGGCAGAGAGAGAGGGAGACACAGGATCTGAAACAGGCTCCAGGTTCTGACCTGTCAGCACAGAGCCCGACACGGGGCTCGAACCCACAGACTGTGAGATCCTGACCTGAGCCGAAGTCGGCCACTCAACCGACTGAGCCACCCAGGTGCCCCCATAGACTTTCTTTTTTTTGAGGGAGAGGGCACAACTAAGAGGCAGAGAGAGGGAGAGGGAGAAAGAAAGAGAATCCCACAAGGGGCAGAGAGAGGGAGAGAGGAGAGAGAAACAGGGCTCACACAAAACAGGGCTCGAACTCACAATAGTGAGATCACGACCTGAGCCGAAGTCAGATGCTTAACCGACTGAGACAATCAGGAACCCCTGGACTTTATTTTTCTTAGTAGTTTTAGATTTGCAGACTAACTTAGCAGAAAGTACAGAGTCTCCGTATACCTCTCTCCCTGCCGCCTGCCCCTTCCCCCTGTTTCTAACATCTGGCATTAGCATGCTACGTTTATTACAACCTATGTACCCGTATCAATACCTTATTATTAACTGAAGTCCAGGTTTACATTAGGGTATGCTCTTAGTGTTGTACATTCTGTATGTCTTGGCAAATGTATAATGACCACTATAGAATCACACAGAGTAAGTTTCACTCTCCTCTCAACCCCTGACTTTTTACTTCACAGTCTCGGAGTTTTGCCTTTTCCAGATGTCACAGTTGGAATTAAACGGTGTGAAACCTTTCCAGATTGGCTTCTTTCCCTTAGCAATATGTATTTAAGTTTCCTCCGTGTCTTCTTATGACTTGACAGCTCATTTCTTTTTTATTTTTTTAAATGTTTATTTATTTGAGTTGGGGGGTGGGCGGTAGGGGCAGAGAGAGAGGGAGACACAATCCAAAGCAGGCTCCAGGCTCAGAGCTGTCAGCACAGAGCGGGACGTGGGGCTCAAACTCACGGACCGTGAGATCAGGACCTGAGCCGAAGTCGGACGCTCAACCGACGGAGCCACCCAGGCACCCGGACAGCTCATTTTTCATCACTCATGCTTCTCTCCATTGCTGAATTAGTATTCCAGTGTATAGATGTACCAGTTTCTTTATTCATTCACCTATTGAAAAATCTTGAGGGGCGCTTGGCTGGCTCAGTCGGTGAGGCATGCGACTCTTGATCTCGGGTTTGTCGGTTTGAGCCCTACATTGGGTAGAGAGATTACTTCAAAATAAAATCTTAAAAAAATATCTCGGTTGCTCCCAAGTTTTGGTAATTATCAAATAGCTGCTATAAACATTCACGTGCAGGTTTTTTGTGTACACGAGGGTCCTCAGCTTGGATGAGAAAATGCCAAGAAGCACGCTTCCTGGATTGTATGGTAAGAGTGTCTCCACCCCTTTTTCTTGTCCACTTCCTCTGGCGGGGCAGTTGGAGGGTGACCCTACCTGGAAAAACGATGCCCGAGAATTGTAGGTCTTAGCTTTGTGCGAAACGGAAATGATCCTCCCTGGGGAGCAGTGGGTGTTCCCTTAGGACTGAGGTCCTTACTCCGGTCCCCAAATGCCCGAGAATCCACATGAGAAGGAGGGAGGGGTCACTGGCTCTCCTCAGAGTTTCAAGGGGTCTAGGAAGCAAGAGAAATTAAGGACACATTTTACCTGCAGCTGAGAGAACCCTCAGGGAAGGGAAGGGGAAGAGCTACTGACACCCCCAATGTTCAGCATGCCCCCCAGTAAGGCCACAATCTTAGATACCACTTCTGACTCTACTTCTGGGGGGTGGGGGGGATGTCCGACAGGAGCCTGGGCTGGATGTGGCTCCTGAAAAAACACTCTCCTCTCTCCCCCATTTGAAAGAAGACTAGAAGCACATTGATGTGACGGCAAAGTCCACTTGCACGGTTTATTGGAAAAAAGAGGCAGCTGTGAAGTAGAAATGCAGATGTTCCCCTTGTAAAGACAGCAGTTACAAAAGAGAAGTAATAAATACAATGTTAGGAATTCTTAAAAAAAAAAAAAAATTACAACAACCCCCTGGTATTCGTGAGCAATCCCAAGAACGCCCAACATCTAAAAATTTGTGCGGGGGGTAAGAACAGCTTCACCTCAACATCTTGGGGCAAAAGTTGGAAACTGGCCAGATGAAGACGGTCACGACTTTTGGGATTTTGGAAGGCTCTGGATTTGTCACTCGGGAATGTAGGGGTCCACAGTAGTTTATTTGCATAGTAGGAATTAACAGGGATTCTTCTATGCATTAATATCACTTCTGATTATTCTCTCATTCTTGCAGGTAAGTAGGAGGAAATGAGAGGACAAGAATGAAGGGGTGAAGGGGGGGAGGGGGAATGCTAAGTGGACAGAAGAAAGGTGAGAGGAAGGAACGGGACTTCCTACCTGTCCCCTATTTTGCCATCTCAGCAGCACGCACCCCCGCTGCAGAGGGGGCAGGCACTGGTCCAGCCTGGCTTGCCTTAAACCTCGCTGTCATCAAAGCACAGAAGACACCAAAGCAACGGGCAGAATCAGGCTCAGAATGAAAGCAGGGAAGTTGAACAGGAAAACAAGAGGAGGGGGACCCCCAAGGGGAGAGGTGCGGAGAAGGGGAGAGGTGAATTCCCTGGGAGAATGGGCAACATTACCATCAGAACCCTGCAGGGACAAGGAAAAAGTGCAAGTTGCTGAGTAGAGGCACGATCTGGCTACAGAGGAAAGAGGGCAGGAAGGAGAAGCTCCGGGGAGCAGTTGGCTCATCCCAGGACACTTGGGAGGGGCTCCCACCCAGGGATGAGAGCCACCCCCTGCCACTCCATGAGGCTAAGGAGTTTGCATCGAGTGGTGGGTGTGGAGGCCGGTTGGGGGGGGGGGGGGGGGGGGGGGGGGGGAAGATGCCCAGCCAGCTCTCTTGGGGGCTTCTGTGAGGCACTGTGTGGACGGAGGTCAAGGTTGCCTGACTATGTGCTGAAAGCGGCTTTGAGCTCCCGGAAGGCCGCCTGGCGGAGTCTCCTCTTCTCCTCCTCCTGCTTCCGCTCGTCTTGCTCGGCTTTTAGCTCGGCTTCAAACTTACTGGCACAGGACAAAGCTTGGACCTGCGGACAAAGAGCAAAAGCAAACCACAGACTGAGGGAGGGGAGGAGAAACTTGGAACGACCCATCCGACAGAACTCCGTTGGCTGGAGCCAGGTGACAGGGGAACCTGGTCCTGCCGCAGGGCAGGACCCCCTCGCCCCCTGAGAACCAACACTCCTCTTCACAAGTCTGTTTAAACTACAGCGAGGATACGATCTCTTTATTTGCCGCTGTGTTCTACGCCGCTAGGGTTGCTCTTTCTACTTCTTTTCCAGGATACTCTCTAACATCCCCGCCTAGCCTATTACCCACTTCCACTTTCAACCCTTAATTTCACAATAATATTGTTTTGTTCGACGGGGAGAAAACAAAGACAAAACCAAAATGAACTCCTTGCTGGGATGCTGACTGCAATTGCTTCAGTCTGCCTGTGGCAAAGGAGTACCTTTACAGTAGATCAATCGTTCTGAATTTACTTCCAAATATTACACGGTGTTGTTGATGTTGTGAATGGGATTTGGTGCCATTTCTTTTAAGCCTAGTTTATCTTTAAGAATACCGTATCAGATAAATCCATCGTAAAATCATCTCTTCTAGAACTGATTCCTTTTTTCACCCCCCTCAGTGTCTCATCAGTTTGGTAGAAGTCCCAAACACACTGGGTGTGCACGCTATTTTAATAAAGATTGCCAAATTGCTCTCCAAAGTAGCTGCTCCAATTAATTTACACCCCCACCGTCATGGAATGTGAGTTCTCATTTCCCCACCATGTCCCCAACGTTTATCAGTAACCTTTTTCCTGTTTGCCAATCTGATAGGCAAAACACATACACACATACACACACACACACACCAAAAAAAAAAAAAACAAAAAACAAAACAAAACAAAAAAAACCACCCTGGCACCTTCTTTTATTTCCTCTCTGGTAAATTACCCATTTCGCCGGGGTTTTTCACTTTGCCATTCTTTATATAATTTAGGCGTAGTCCCTTGTTATATCTTTTTTGGTTACTCTTAGTCTTTTGATTGTCTGTTAACTTCAAGGTATCTTGGGCCAGGTGAATCTTTAAATTTGGATGTCATCAGAATTTCCAACCACTTCCATTCTGGCTTTTGTCTCTCTCTCTCTCTTTTGGTGTTTATTTATTTTTGAGAGAGAAAGAGGGCACGAGCGAGGAAGAGACACAGAGAGAGGGAGAGAGACAGAGAATCCAAAGCAGGATCCATGCTGTCAGTGCAGAGCCCGATGTGGGACTCGAACCCATGCACAGTGAGATCGTGACCTGAGCTGGAGTTGCACGCTCGACCTTTGAGCCACCCCATATTATGTCATGTGTAAGGTCTCCTATACCCCAGGGCTCTAAAACCATTTTCCTCTCATACTTTCCTGGTTTTATTTTCCCATTCAGCTCTTAAAGTCACTTACACTGTATTTTAGTGAAGGAATATATATCATTTAAATGACTTTACTTCATTTTCCTAAGTGGAGAGCCAATTGTCTCAACACCTTTTATTGAATAGCCCATTATTTTTCCACTGACTGGAAAGTTATCTTGTTCATGTACTAAATTCCCACACGAAGGGGATCTGTTTTTACTATTTTCTCTCCCATTCCACTGACCTGTTTATTCCTGCACCCGCACTACATTATTTAATATTACCGCTTTAGAAAACCTTGATATTTATGAGGAAAGTATTCCTTCATTATGTTGACTAAGCACATTGCTTTCATATTTTTAAATGTCTTATTATGAATATTAAACTTCACCAAATGTTCTGAGATGTCTCACTGAAGGGATCACATTTTTCATATTTGATACCTATGAGACATTATTTATCTATCTATTTATTTATTTATTTAAAGTTCATTTATTTTGAGAGAGTGCACACAGGAGGGGCAGAGAGAGAGAGACAGAGAGAGAGAGTCCCAAGCAGGCTCCTCGCTGTCGGCAGGGAGTCTGACACGGCGCTGGATCTCATGAACCGTGAGATCACGACCTGAGCTGAAACCAAGAGTTGGACACTTAACCGAGGGGGCCACCCAGGCGCCCCATGAGACCTTTAAAATTATCCCTGCAGTCTGAACATAAATTTCAAATGTTTTAAGATTCCTACAGCTATATTCATTAGATTGATACAACTTTTTTGATGTGTTTTTATCCGATTGTTAGCAGAATCATGCCAGCTTTACAGAACGAATGTGATATAATCTTTTCCAATATGTTTGAACTAGTTTGTGACATTGAAAAACAAAAAAAAAAGTAGAACATTGAAGAATTAATCCCTAAATTCCCCAGCACTTAACTGTTTGTGGGGAGTTTGGAGTTAACCATCTAAATGTCTTTACAATTCATCACAAATCTTCTTCTGTCGAATTTATAGAAAAGCATTACCTTTCCTGTAGTGTTTAAATGATTTTAAATTGAGGTGTCAAACCTCTCACAATTTTTAACTAGCATGTTCCTGGGTCCATCATCTTTTCTCCATTTCTCCTTTTCCCCGTCACAAGCGTCCACATTTGGGTGGCTCTTTGTCTACTCTCTGGTTCACTCAGTCACTTCTCTGCCGTGTTGAGGCTAAGATTTACCACCTCCTACCAGGCTCTTTGTTCAGTCTATTCTGGTTGTTAATCCATTACATCCTGTGTAGCAAAATGCAGGTTCTCACATCTCAATGAAAAAATTATAATGTCCCTTTCCTAAATTCTTCCTGCACTGCACAGGGTCCATGTCTGAACATAGGACACCTCTGAAAAATGATGCTTTTTTACTCTTTCCGGATCAGAATCCCTAGGGGTAGGGACTAGGAAATTATGTTTTCCAAATTTCACAGGTATTTCTCCCCCCCCCCCCACCCTCCACCGCCCCCAGGTATTTCTTAGGCCTGTGAGGCCCTGCTGAGTTCTCCCCTCCAGCTCCCTACATCAGAATCACCAGAAGACAGATTCAATTGCCTGGAGCAGGGCCCCACTCATGCTGACTCCTATGACCCTCTACCCCCCGACTCAGGTTGCAAATTTGGACCCCAGATCCCCTTGTCTAGACTGAACCCCTCTCTTTCTCACCTTTATCTTTTTTTCCTTGTTGTCTTATTTTATTCAGGAATTTTATGAGCTGGCTGTTAAATATTAGAAGGTAAATTATATAAATCTATAATTAAATTATATTAGAAGCAAAGTATTAAGTACTAAAAAGTCATCACTTCCTGATTTATCTTGTTATATATTTTACTCTATCTGTGCTTTGGAGATTATCTGTTTCCGTTATATCTCTAAGGCAGAAATCCTATATGATAATCTGCTGTGAATCTTCCCAAATCCACACTTAGCAACATCCTGTTGGAAGCTTGAAAGCAAGTGGTGGGGGTTTTACACCTTGGAAACCAACAAATGCTACAAACTAGGTCTTGATTTATTGTTTCACTGACTACCTTTTCCTAAGAAAGTGTTGGGAGATGTTAAAGATGCAGATTAAGCTGAAAAATGTGTAGTGTCTGTAGCTTTTGCATTATGAATAGCTCCAAAGAAATTCAGGGAATATTCTTCCAATATTTGAAAAACTATTATCGAATTCAGCAAGGGAAGTTGCTCACTGAAGAATGAATGAAGTGCTGACATACGTCCCTTTACTTTTTTTTTTAATATATCTTTTTAATGTTTATTTCTGAGAGAGAGAGAGAGAGAGAGAGAGAGAGAGAGAGAGAG